ATATTCGGATTTAATTGTTAATCTTGTTTATACAAAAACAAACATGCATCGCGAATTTTCATTGATAGTCAAAGGAATTGTTTTATCGAAGCATAATTTCGAATATTGTCGGACGCTATACGTTCCAAAGAAAATAAACCGCGCACGTGCAAGAGAAAGAGAGAAAAAGAGGGAAAGCGTCCTTCCCCCTATGGTATGCCGTTGATTATTAATGACCGCGATGCTGGTCGTCGTCGAGAGCGAAAGCGAGTGCACCCGGTACCCTTCATCGACGCGATCTCCTCTTATAGCTTCGTTTACCCTCGTGCTTTAAAACTCCTGGTTGGCCATCGGTGATGAGAAAGAGGACGACCTTGCATCGCGAGAATTAGAGAGAAAGAAAAAATTATTTTTCTCTTTTTTTTTTTTAATTTCTAAATATCGATAAAAAGCAAAGAACATGTTTCTTCGATTCACAGAGAATTGCATGTTTAATTTTATGAATTAAATTTCATACATGTATGTGACTGCTGTTATGATTACAAAAATTAAGTACGAATAAAATAAATTCGATAATAAGTTTTTAAAAAAGTTTCAATAAACGAATAAAACTTGGACAATTTGTATAAATATAATGAAATCTCTCATCACAGATTATGCAAAACTCGTCGCATCATAAAAAATCTGTTCTCTATAAAGTTTCGTAATGTTTGCAAATTTTTTTTATTATTTGCAAGATATTTTCAAATATGTTTACATGTAATTCCTCGATCAATTAACTTTAATTCTTGTTCCTTCGCAATTTTAATCTCTCATTTTATTATTCCATTATATATATTCCGAACACTATATCGAGAATCATTTAAATCTTAATTAATTTTAATTATCTTCCATAGAAATATGTCTTGAGAGATATAAAGATAACGCTTTCCATCGATATCCACGATGCTTCGCAGATCCTATCGCATCTAAACACAGAGGAATCGGGAGGCGGCGAGTGGGGGAAGCAGGCGTAAAAATCGTAACGGATTCCCTTTAACGCATGGAAGCGCGTTATCCTCTCCAGATGCGCATTCCTGGTCAAACCGCATCCCGTCCTCCGCCGGCGATATTCAAGGTGGATGTTTCTTGCAGCGCGTCCCCTCCCTTTTCTTTCATCCCTTTTGCTTTCCTCACCGCGATTATTTCCAACCTGACTCGCTCCGCTCTGCAAATCTTTCTCTCTCTCTCTCTCTCTCTCTCTCTCTTTTGCCGTGTGTACGGTCACGGTTACGCAGTCGCACGCGTGCATGCATCGGCGAACCACTGTCGGATCCCGATACGACAGGGCTCCAATGCCCATTACGTACCCGTTCGTTTATTTTGCGGCTTTACGCGTTACAGATCTTACTATAATGCCCCTTTGTACAGAGAGCGCCGGGATTCCATTTTCTTTATTACGCTTCTTGCACTATTGGCAATATACCGAGAGAGAGACGTGGCCTACTCCATCTCTATTCTCTTACGACTGAATCAACTCGACACATTACGATGTCAATTGAAGGCGGGATTTGTCTTTCGTTTATAACAAAAATACAGATTTGTAAGTTTCTGTAGAAACCTATTTGCTCTCATTCGAATATTCGAAATGTCTGTGAAAATACTGTATCGGACACCTAACGCGAGACGTCAATCCATCGATTTAATATTCTTAACAATCGTGACATATTTCGATCGATTTACAGAATAAGATACACAAGACAAAAAAAGTGATAGGGATGCATTTCCTTTCCACGTGACTGTTCAATCGAGTAGGAAAGTCATTGTATCACCGTGACGAGAAATACGCGGCAAAAGAACGAGAAGACAGGGAAGAAACACGATTCGCTCGTGACCGATTTTCTTTGCCTACCGGCGACGAGGACAGCGAAGAGGACGACGACGATGATGATGAGGCGGCGGTGGCGACCGTTCGCGCAGATGGCGGGAGAAAATCTGAAAAGGAGTCTAGCGGCGAGCGGGACACGGAAAGGGCAACAGGGGGGAGGGGGAAGGAGGGGTGGGGGGGTGGGATGCCGGTTAAAGTCGTAAATCGCATCCCTCGGAATTTATGCGTAATCTACGGTGACCTACGGCGGGCGGTTTAATGTTGCAGAGTTATGCGTCGGGGATGCGCGCACGTATACACACGCACGCATCCCCGTGTGCGTGCGCGCAGCGCGTGCGAGCCTGGGCATGTAAGCGACCTAGCCCAATCTCGACGGCCCACGCCGAGTCGTGAAAGAGAGAGAGAGCGCGAGTAGCCGCGCATAACGCATTCCCCGGACGGAGGAGGCGGAGGAGAGAGAAACCGAGGAGGAAGAAGAGGGCGAGAAGGAAGGAAAAGAACGCGTCGAGGAGGAAGGCCACGGACGGTATAAGAGTTAGCAGGGCGGTGCGTGGGTCACAATACCCTTAGGGCCTTCTCCTCCTCCTCCTCCTCCTTTCTCCACCCCTTCCCCGTTCACCGGGGAGCCCGGCTTTTTCTTCGTTCTCGGCATCACTCCGACCTCTTCTTCGTCCTCGTCGTCATCGCGGTCCTCCGTCGTAGTCGTCGTCCGCGACTCGTTATGGAAAGGCGCACACGCGGGATATTGTTGCTCGTATATATGGAGAATACGGCGGGGAAGCGCGCTGTGCTTGTACTATGCAGATGATTCCGCGATATGGGCTATTCATTGCGAGTCATTTAAGAGCTTATTTCGCGGTGGGTACGCGCGCACGTGTACGCGTGATATGTTATTATATTGCGTATTGAAAGGTCCGGCGAGCACGCACAGTAAGTCGCTAGAAAGAAAGGATAAGAATCGATGCACTATACGGAATCAGCGTCCTTTCATGCGCCCGTCTAGTACCTCGTCAGAAAATTCACGATAACTACGATTTGCTACACGGACGATGGCAGAAATTGCGAGAGAATGGCTATACAATGCTATTATACGTACAATGCTATTATGTGTATATACAGTTATATGCAATAAGGATTTTTAATACTTTTCTTTACAACACAGTAAGATTCAGCTTCTTCGTAAACATGTGTTTATCTTTCAATCTTTCACATGTATCGATTAGGTCCTCGTACATGTTTCTGATGTAACAATTCTAAGATGTAATTAGTTAAAAAGATAGCGAGGTAAAAATTTCATGACATTTGTAAATACGTCAAATGGTCCATGACATGTGAGACCTCATGACATCGCAAGAGCCTTTCGTTTATTCGAATAAAAATAGTTTAGATAAAGATATATATTTCCAATAAAAATTCTAAGATGTAATTAGTTAAAAAGATAGCGAGGTAAAAATTTCATGACATTTGTAAATACGTCAAATGCGGTCCATGACATGTAAGAGCCTTTCGTTTATTCGAATAAAAATAGTTTAGATGAAGATATATGTTTCCAATAAAAATTCAAACGAGGAAAAATTAATTAACGCGAACTCTAAAATGATAGATTATAAATTATAGACGCTCCTTATAGGAGTTCACCCACATGCATGGGATATCATGCTTCGATATCTTTCCGGTATTCTGATTTCATTGAAGAGTAGCGCGTAATCGTCCGTCGATTGCGTCAATGGATTCATGAGGGAGATAACATTCCGATATACGCTGCGATACTTCCTGTATGCAGTTTCCCGAGCGCGTTACGTGTGGCGACGGCTTCGGCGGCCTTCGACGGCGGCGATTACGATCGTCGGCGCGGTCTTTGGCGTGGATACCGATGAATAAACAGGGAGAGTCGTGATAAGCGCCCGGAGCCGTAGCACGCCAGCGCGCATTATACATACGCGAGAGCGAGAGTAAATGACGGAGGTGGCAGCGCTGATGATGGTGATGATGCAAAACGCGATGATAATAATAACGACGACGTGGACGTCGTCGGGAATGAAACGGACACGCGTCTGTCTGGCCTGCTCGCATCCTCCGCTTCGAGGGGGAGTTTTTTTCAGATCGAGCTTGGCCTCGGGAAGGTCCTCTGATGTATCTCGTGATTCTCGAGTAGCGACGAAAGGGAGAAAAAATTAGCATTAACATAATAAATAACGACAGCATTCAGCGCATTCTTATTTCTGTCAAATAAATTTTATAAAAGTTGGTTGTGTTGGAGGAAATTGCGAGATCAATCTAGGCTACACAGAGAAAAATGTATACTGTATTCGAGTAAATATTATTTATTTGAAGTATATCATAAGTTTGTATATCCGCAAATATATCACAAGTTCACCACAAGCATTAAATTTAATTGAATATATTCTGAATTTTAGTAAGTGCAATATTTTAGTCAAGAATATTAAATTAAAACAAAAATTTGGTTGGCTTGCTACAAGAATTGACGTAAAGTAAGTTTGATTTTTCTTTGATACAACTTTACAATATTCTTGAAGAGAAAAGAAATTCTTCTTTTGAGTACATGATAATGAGCTTTTCTAACACTTGTGATGAGTATATTTTAAGACTATTATCAAGAATATATTCTTTGTTGAAGAAAACTATTACTTAAAAAAAGAAGAATAAACTGAATAATTGCTTTTCTTGGCAGTAGAATGACATTTTTCTCTGTGTACGCGATTGGATCAACCCGATGATATAAGTTCCATTCAATGTTTCCTCACTATCGTATCTATTCGAAAGTCTTTATGCCAAACGCGTGCCGCGAGTGGAGCTCGTGTTTCTCACATATTGTTCGGGTCGATACATAGTGTACATCCGATCGTACGGGAAGACACTCGAGAATGATACGAGATGCTCGCGTGTACGGCATTTAAGATGACGCCAATTAGGTGGCTAATACGTTTCCCGTGTCCATTTTGTTCCGGCTATAAATTTCCCCTGGATTGGATAACGGTTGGAAGAACGAGCTATCGGGATCCGCGAAGTAAATCATGCTCGGAGAGGTCCGGATGGCGACAGCGAGGTTACATAGAATGTAATGGCGTTGTACGGAGATAATATGTACTTCGGAAGGCGCTGGATGTAACGTGCGATTTTTCTGTTTCGCCAGGAGGACTACAGTCAGCGCAGACGCTTATCGACACCCAGCGGCAGCCCGAGCCCTCCCAGACCGACCAGACTTTCAAGATCTACCGGGACTCTTACCAGAGAGGAAGAACCCTTCTGTAAGTCCGGCAATACCCTGACCAGGGACAACCAGACGCGAGGTGCGGAGAGCAAAGGCTGGTTCAAGTCCCTCTCGAGGAAAAATAAATCCAACGCCACGGTAAGTTTTTCTTATACTTTTTCAGTCTCTAATTTTTTAAAATTATATCACAAAAATTGATCGAGGATTATTAAGAAATATATCTGCGGAAACGTTATTATTCGATTGATGGTTAATTTTTTTGCGCAATAATAAGTTTAATCTACTTTTCTTAAACTTGAGACATTTAATCTTGTAAAAGGTCGAATTAAGAGGTTTAATGCATTTAATTTTCTCAAAATTTGCATACTAAATTCTTAGATTAAAGTGGAAAATCGCGGAAACCAACTCTACAATTAAAATTATAAAAGTGTTCAATATTCGCGATTGATCGATAGGTAAACGATTGCGAAAACTTGATAGAATGAGTCAAGTTTAACTGCGGCAGTTTCGTCCGGAATTACCTTATTAAGAGCCCGGTAACTTCGTTAATAACGGAATACCAAACATTTCCGTCGATTAACGTCATTCCGAATGTTCCGAGTTCGGGCGGAATAATTAAAACCGATGAGGTCCTCAGAGACTCGACGAATGATCTCTCTCGGAAACCGGCGAGAGTTCAAGTGGGCGAGGGAGGTATCGTATTCGATATCGACATCGTCGATCGGAAACGCGACAAATCATCCTCCGCGAGCCTAGGATCTTTTTCGTGGATATTATCCGATAACGAGCGGGCTCTCTCTCTCCTCTAGATCGTGCCCGTGGTTATCTCGCGCGCACCCAGGCCGGTACGCATTCATCAGTCAGAGCGCGGGTCGCTGCGCGGAGCCATTAAGGCAGCGCAACCTCCAATTACCGGTTTGATTAAATGCTTAACTAACTCCGCGCTCTGTAGTTTAATTTAATCGCGAGATTAAGTGCCGATCAGAGGAGGTTGCTTGCCTAGCCCTATAAGCCCGACCATCGTCCGCACGCCCGCCCGCGCGGGAATAATCTCTGTCAGGTCCCGATTCTCTCCTGTGATCTCTTAGCCTGAACCGGGGTGAGGGGAGGGGAGAGGGGAGGGGGAAAGATGCTCGCGCTCGCGCGCACAACTGTGTTGCCGCGCTGGAATACTCGCGCTCGCGCGCTCGTTCGAGATGATTGCGTGCGTATGAATCTCTCGCCGTGGACGATGATCTATCGGATGAGTCGGCCCGGGGAGAATCATGACTCATGAAGGCGCCGTGCGATGCAACCACGGGGGGAGGCCTCGCGATTTTTGCGAGCCACGGGAAGAATATGGCTTTGTACGCGCGATTTTCTGCCGGTCGGTCGAGAGGCGCGAAGGGGGCCTCCTGGAGTCCGAAAAATTCGCGACCGACAATGGACAGGCCCAGTTGTACGGTCGACTCCTCGTCGCTCGTCTCGGAGTCAATTGTCAAAGAGGAGTCGGGCTTGCGTTATTACCTCGCGTCGTATTTTATTTTCCTCGAAGCCCCGTTAGTAACTCGAAGCGTCCCTTAATCCTTAATCTTATTATCCTATAGAAAGGATAATAAGATTATTTCGAAGTACAGGCATGATAAAAAAAATTCTCTTTAGAATATATTCATATTGTCGCAGCATCGTATAAAGATGCGGATTATGTCTATTGAAAATCGATTCAAGCGGTATTTTGTTGAATTTCATTACAAAAGATTTGTCAAAAATGTTTGTGTCAAAAGACTTAAAAATAACGTGCTTGAAAAGATGTAAAAATTTCTTTTATTCTCAATTCTTAAACTTTTCTTAAACTTTTCTTATACCGAATAGAAGATTTTGAAGATTGATTTCTTTTGAAAACTTAGTTGAAACTATAGTCAAAGTTAATCGAGATTGGCAAAACCACCCTTAAAAGTCGGGAAACTGAAGCAAGTATGTGCTTAACTATGAAAATTACATATTACCACGGAATAATATATCATTACAGCGATACGTTTCAATCTATCGCACTCTTGCAAAATCCGTCTTCTGTTCATGAAATTACAACGTTCGATAAATCGATATTTGGAATAAGCGGGCGTAATTGTTATACGCAGAAATAATCTGCGCGCGCGGCTATATTTGGTCGAGATCATGAATAATGAAGCGTCGATAACTTTGCAGCCAGTGGATAAAAAGCCGAGAATACCCGAGAGCGAGATCTTGACGACCGGCACCGAGGATGAGGAAGCTTCCTCCGCGCCTGAACGAGTTTCCGTGCAAAAGAATCTCCGCTTCTTCGGCGATACGGATCAGGAGTCCGTCTCGTCCAACAGAGACCGCAGGTAAATGCTATAATACGAACCGTGTATACGGCTATATGCGATAAAATATTTTGCGCGCGAGTGATTTCAATGTTTGCTCTAATTAATTTTTAATTTATTTAAAATATCGCAGCTTTTTCTAAAGCAATTTCTTATGAAAAAGAAAATAAAACTGCACATATATCTGCTATATATAATTGAAAATAATTTTATATAATTTTTCTGTACTATCAAAATAATTACTTATTTCAGAAACAAACGAATTAACGACCACGCCTGCTCAAGACGTGATGTCACAAATTCAAACCGCCATAATTTAGGTATCATATCAGCACCGAGGAAACCTCCGAGACTCGCTGAGAGCGCGTTGTCCTCGGGCGAGAGCACAACGGGCGATAGCAGCCAGCAAAGTCAAAACTCTCAGAGATCACAAAGATCTGTTGTGTATCTTCATGCTGCTACAGGTATGATTTATTTATTTATATTTATATTTTTCATCCAGCATTTTATTTAGCATTTTTTAATAATTATTTTATTATATTATTTTTTCGTATTGCTATCTGTATATTCATATATACAAAATTTCCCTTAATAGTTTAAAAGATATTTGAAAATTCAAGATCCTAAACTTCATTCACATGTTAAAATTGTCAAATAATTTTCATGCTAGTAATTAAAAAAATTTTTTGCGTACCCGAGAATTGATATAATTTGTTATAAAAATATATATTGCCCAATTAAGTTTTCATTAAAGAAATATCGGCTCCGTTGTAAATTAATCCAAGAATATGTGTTTAAATTTTTGTAATATCTTATATGGCTTATATAACGTATATTACCGCTATCAGTAAAGGATATAGTCTATGACGTCCATTATTCAGTGAACGTTCGAAATTGTGTAACACCTGTTGTATTTGCGTCATAGAAAACATGAAAAGTCCCTTTCTTTCTCTTTCCGGTTAGCAGTTTAAAGTTATTTAACTAACGAGTTGAATTAATATTCGATAGTGAAAGTACGTAAAATGTCGTCAAGCATAACCGCGCTCCGTAATTGCGATTTAACTTTGATATATCTGCGTTCCAGTCGGCGAAATACCGGGTCCGAACGAACGACGCCGGGCGGCGAGTCGCGAGGAGTTAAATCGACCGTTGCAATCGCACACGAGAACGGTGTCGAGGAGTGTGAGCGTCCTTGCACCGTGGAAGCCGCGACATTACAGGGAACCGTTCGAGATCAACTACGATCAGCAACAGCATGCGAAACCGATCGCGACCATGAGACGCAGGCAACGGAGCCGCGAGACCCTCAGTCGCCGAGGAAAGGAAGCTCGGCGAAGCAAGGATAATCTTTCCAAGACGAGTAAAAAAAATATGTCCTATTCTCGAATTATACAAATGTCCTACCGTTAAATAAGATGTGTAAATAAATTCCGAAGGATTAAAGGAAATAAATATGTTTACTTTTGATAACGATAGATTCGTCCAATTTTTAATTTAAGACTTAATCATTAAGGCTAATTAAGTGTAACTATCTTATTTTGCAAGTTCTATTATATTAATTTTGTCTGCAAATCTTTAGCCTTATTTATAATATAAAGAAAATAATTTTATTTGTCTTGTATTAGTCTTAAATTATATAAAAAGTACGAATCTAATCTAAAAAATCTTAAAAATTGCGATGACAGAAAATAAACAATCATTGCAGGTACGATTAACCGCAGTACATTGAAATCGAAGGACAAGCAGAAAGTGGATAGAACCGTCTCCACGGAATCGCTGGCCACAAAATCGCGAGGTTCCAAACCGGAATTGAGCAGGTCCACGTCCGTGCCACGCGACCCGAATAAGAGCGCAGGATGGTTCAAGCTGAAGAGCAAGAAATCTCGCGCCTGAATTGGACGGCCATTGATCAATGCTAGTCTCTCGAGTAAACGTAATTCTCATAATCTCGTAGGCGATTAATATGCGTCGATATCCGGCACACGCTGATTATTAATGATGCGACTTATAGATATAATATACACCGCTCTTCTACTTTTTAACACACACGAGCATCGCGATCGCGCGGGTTTCTAATTTTTTAACCGAGTATAATTGCGCATAATTGCGGCAGTAACATGCAAATTAATTGTTATTAGCATGTTAATCGATTTCGCGAATTTATAGAATTATTTGTGTCGTCTAAGACACAAAAATTCTTATGCGTAAATATATACGTAATATGGAATAAATACACTTATCCAAATAGATACGTGCGGAAGCTTCGAATTCAATTGCTCGTCAAATTAATATTGTTATACTTTGCGCATATTAAATAAATATAACATTTCTTGTAACAACAAAGAAGATTGCAAAATCGAATATATATGTTTTTGAAGCATAAGTTTAAATACAAATTGTGTACTTTAAAATGAGAATTTTCTCAATATATTAAATATTACATTATTTTAATAGCCTTCTCTCTGCCAAATTTAACGAATTAAATTTGCCACACAAGATGAGAATGCATTTTTAAGACACATTTACATATTATGAATTAACATTTTGTTGCGTATTAACTTTTGAGTCTTCTCCGAGACTCGATAAAAAGTATTTTTCGCATTTCATATTTTCATATAATTATATGTGTTGCGCATATCATGAGAAATTAACGTGTCATTTCATTTTACCGTGAATCAGAGTGCCATCATCATTTTTTACCTTTCTATAATATATATGTACTTACTAGATAAAATTCAAGAGAAAATATTTTCCAGAAAATATTTTATTTTATCGCGACAATCGAAAGAATATAAAACACGGGCAGTTTGTATGTACGACAATAATCATTTTTCTGTGCATAGATCCATCTTGTTTTTGCATGTTTATTGTATATAAATCTTTGTGTTAATAATCGTAATTTTTAATTGATTCTTAATAGAACCTTTCTAAGAAACTCTTGTCGCTACATTTGTGGATTACAAATTATAGTTATATATTATACAGTTATATTGTTCGCAATATAACTGTACTATAGTATATAGTATAACTATAATTGCAAACTTTTATATGCAAACTTTTCATATTTAAAAAATTTTTTCTATTTCTGATAACATGTATGTAAAGGAATAAAACACGCAATGTTAAACATTATCTGTTATACTGTGATACGCTTTTGCGTGTGAACAAAGAGGTAAATTAATTATGGCAACATAAATAGTCATCTTGCACCATAGCGACTACTTCATTCCTACTTGGTGCTACTTACATGTGTATGTGTACATACGGATCATAAACAATTTGCATGTAAATATCATGAATATATATATTAACAATATTGTATGTAATTACCAATAAAATCTATTATGTATTAATATAGACAATACTTTTTTGTGAGCATAAAATGCGTTAAATAGCGTATAAATCCACAAAAACTGAGAACGTTATATTTTGTAACACAATTAATAAACAAAATGAAATAAATTAGCATATCATTAATAATAATAAAATATATATAATAATAAAATACATTGATATTAAATATATATTCCATGATATTTGTGAAATCAAGCATGATATCGCTTTATCTTGTTTGTTGAAATATATAATAATATATGTGTTAATCATTGTAGTACTCACATTATACAAGATGGGTGTAAATTAATTGACAGAGCTTATGAATGGATTGGAACAGGAAGGATAATGATGCATAATTGTTGTCTTAAATGTACAAGTCATGATTCCACAGTTTTATTCAATTTATCCCAGCAGCACAATGTTGTTCCAGACAGGATAAGTATCATTCCCAAATAAGTATCTGAAAAATAAAACAATCGGTCAAAATAAATAATACATCTCCTAAAAATAAAAATAATTTTATATATACTTACTTTTATGCACTTTTTCTTCACCAAGGAATGAGCCTGTCATTGCAGTGAATACAAAGGTAAGGGAATTTGAAACTGGCACAGCCAGAGATATGTCGGTGCTTTGCAGAGTAAGAAAGTACAACACCGAGCCGCACTGGTTGAGCAAAAATGGCAGGAGATACTGTGTAAAACAATAAAATCAATTATAAACATAAATCTTATAATATATAATTATTTGGTAAAATATACCAGAAACAAAAATATGACAAACTTTTAAATTGGTAACGAGAAATGCAATCTCTTTGATAAATTGCTTATAAACAGAGGTGGCTTTGACAGTCTCCAGACCTTGCGCACCTTTTTTCATAAATGGATTAGTGACTCCCCAAAGAACTGCGACAACACATAAATATAAAACAGAATCTGTAACATAAAGGAGATACACACGTTAATATCTTTCCATTTCTACTTTTTTATTTGCATCTAATAATTTGTAACAAAAAGAAAACAAGTGTGAAAGTTTATAAAAATTACAAAATCTCACCTATAGTAACTGCCATTCTTTCGTCGTTTATATAACGTTGAAAATATCACAGGCGTAATGAAAATATTATCATAAGAATTTATTTAATTCACGCGGCACGAATTCTGAAACACATTACAAATCGTGACAGTTAAAGATAGGTTAGGCAAATGCTCGATCATTTCGAGACTTTATGGCTCGAGATCGAAATCGTAATATTATTGTTTTATATATATATATATATAAACTAGACGCTCAATAAATTTCAAACGATCGACACCATGGACACGTAATGGACGTATATACATGGTCTCCCCCTATGGGGGAAAGTGAAGCCAACATTTAGAAAGAGACAGATAACCTAACCTAATCCACCTGTTCTTTATCTTTTTCTGCGCAGACGAATTACAAAAAAAACAAAGAGAGAGAGAGAGAGAGGAAACGAGCCCCTCTTTTCTCGCTCTCTTTCTAGATGTTGCTTCACTCCATTACATGGCAATTAAAATAAAGGACATTCGGAGTCCATGATTGACACGAAGAATTAACTCCCGCAAACGCGAACCGAAATCACAATATCAAAAAATCACAATATTTATACAAAATAATTACTATACATACATATTTAATACATCACGAAAAACCTCGATATTTTACGAAAGAATTTATCACACGTAGAGTCCTTTCCACCATAACAATCGCGATAAATGTCACGTAAATACGGAACGATAAAAATACGACCAACAACCGGCGAAGCACTGTAATTTGATCCGAGATTTATCGAAAAGCGATATAAAGTAGCGTATATTTGCGAAGAATTTTAAAATGGTCGAAAATAGTGGCAGAAATGCAGATATGCAAATGACATTCGAAATATTTTAGTAAATCTTAAAATAATCTAAAAATAATTAAATTATATATGTACATATATGCAGCGAATTATGATAAAATTACGAATTATTAAAAAATATGGCCGCCAAAATGGCAAAGCAAAGTGCAGCATACACACCTGGCTACGATTTGTATCTACTTTAGCGGGAAAAGAACGTGAAATAGACAAAAACGATTTCAAATGTGTAGAGACTCAGCAAAATATCGAAATTGCAGCCACAACGATGTTTTATGATTAAACTCGGAAAATAAATGTCGGAGATCTAAGAAACACTTGCAAGAACTTTTCACGCGCGAAGTTCTTTGTCGTCGCGATTCAAAATCTAGTGAAGAATACTACCATTTTATAAAATTCACTCTTTTTCTATGCTATTAAGGTGCAATTTCATTGACGCTAGAAACCAGCGGCAAATTAAAATCACTAGACTTTCTCTAGATTTGGCGTCAATAAAATAAAGTTCAAACAGTTTCAACTTTTTCAGTGTGTAAAGCGGCCTTTTCATTGACGCTACTTTTTAGCGTCAATGAAATTGCACCTTAACAGTTGGCAGCCCTACGAGATAGGCTGTGCAGCATATAACTGCGCGTATATAAAATAAATTTGAAATCGCTTCTAGCTAACCATCTTCACGCGATCGACTTTATTTGAATTGCACGACACCGCATCGAATTATGATGCGGCGCCGATTTGTTCGAACGTAATTCGGGACATCGCGATGCTGTATAAGCGTCGAATGAGCACAAATTGTCACGCAAATATGATAAATCACATCTACTCACCGTTCACCGGCTGTTCCACAGGCTGCTCCACTCGTTCGCCTCGGGACGTCCCATTCCGATCTTGATGCACACGATATCATCAACGCGAACGCGCGACACTTTATTCGGCACTCCCGATATTCGCTCGCATCCGATAATCATCATCAAGGGCGCAAATAATGCGACGCGACTTCGCTCCATCTTCGCGATGACGCCATCACTGAATGTCGTCAAAAATCGCTGTCGCGCGTTTCCATCGACACACTATAAAAGTCGCGCGATCATCCTTCGACACTTTCGATGCTCGTTCACTCGCGATATTCGTTTAAAAACGGTTAAAAGACACGAAAAATGCGGACGTACGACGATCCGTGTAACTGCGTATGACTCCAAGTCACGTATGACGCGTATGACGTAGCAGTCACGCGCCAACATGGCGGCCGAACCAGTGCGCACTGGTTCGGCCGCCATGTTGGCGCGTGACGTCACTGCGACGTCATACGCGTCATACGTGAATCGGAGTCATACGCAGTTACACGGATCGTCGTACGTCCGCATTTTTCGCGTCTTTTAACCGTTTTTAAACGAATATCGCGAGTGAAAGAGCGTCGAAAGTGTTCAAGGATGATCGCGCGACTTTCATAATATGTCGGTGAAAGTGCGCGACAGCTATTTTTCACAGTTCAGTGATAGCGTGATCGCGAAGATGGAGCGAAGTCGCGTCGCGTTATTTGCGCCCTTGATGATGATTATCGGATGCGAGCGAATATCGGGAGTGCCGAATAAAGTGTCGCGCGTTCGCGTTGATGATATCGTGCGCATCAAGATCGGAATGGGACGTCCTGAGGCGAGCGAGTGGAGCGGCCTGTGGAACAGCCGGTGAACGGTGAGTAGATGATTTATGATATTTGCGTGACAATTTGTGCTCATTCGACGCTTATACAGCATCGCGATGTCCCGAATTACGTTCGAACAAATCGGCGCCGCATCATAATTCGATGCGATGCCGTGCAATTCAAATAAAGTCGATCGCGTGAAGATGGTTAAGCTAGAAGCGATTTCAAATTTATTTTATATACGCGCAGAGCTGCACAGCTTATCTCGTAGGGCTGCCAACTGTTAAGGTGCAATTTCATTGACGCTAAAAAGTAGCGTCAACTATTGGTTGAACAAAGAAGTAAGTAGTTGCTTACTGTTTAGGTGCAACTGTTTAGGTGCAATTTCATTGACGCTAAAAAGTAGCGTCAATGAAAAGGCCGCTTTACACACTGAAAAAGTTGAAACTGTTTGAACTTTATTTTATTGACGCCATATCTAGAGAAAGTCTAGTGATTTTAATTTGCCGCTGGTTTCTAGCGTCAATGAAATTGCACCTTTACCATTCTCAAAACATCAATGCATTGTGTCCAGTCGGTTGATTGGCGAACACATTTTTATCACTATTTTTCACAAATGTAGTAATTGGATATCGCATCTAGGAATCTGTCTACTCAATGACTAAATAATCAATATTTTATTTTCAAATATATATTTATATGTAATGACAATTTTAGAATTTTAAAAAAGCTAAATCCTATAAATGTCGCTTTTTATTATAGTAAAGAGCAAGTGTTCAATAATTTAAAAAAAATTTATGAAAAAGTAATTAAAAGTTGAATACGTTAATGCAACGGTTTTAATTCACTGATAAATGTTCGATAGTTTCCAATTGTTCCATTTCTATCTTCTTTAAAGAATCGTATTGCACTCGTAATCGTTCCAGTTCCATGGACTTTTCCAAAATTAAAGCCTATAACAAGAAATAAGCTAATCGATCGAAAACAAATAATATGTATTATTATTATCATTAAAATCATTTTAATTATTTCCAAACCTGCATTTGCTGCTTCTGGGCTTCTCTTTGTTTCTCAATGGAACGCAATACGTTCCGTGCACCGATTGTTTTCATTTTCTCCTTTTCTACTTCCTTTCCCAAATCGTCCAATATTTTGATGAAATCATCGGAATTTTTCTCAAATTCGGTAATCTCTGCAAAGTGAAAATTTTCAATTATCATAATGATGGATAAATATTTTTAAAATAAAATTAAATTTATAACAAGCTTGCAATCAACTTGATAAAATAAATTATATATTTTTGTGTGTAATTTTAAGAACTGCTCGATTCTAATATCGAGTTAATTCATTTATTTCATATATCACATAACATTACGATATATTGGTTTGTATTGAATTTCCCATATGTGTAAAAAAATTCAAATTACATATATGTTTCGCGCCACGATGACCGATGGAATCCCACTCAGTCGCGAAAAAGCGTTCCAATTGACGAGATAAGATCGGTGTTCGTTAACGCAATCAAATGACGATAATTGTGAGGGAGCGGACGTGTATCTTTCTCGTGCAGATACTCATCGAATAAATAATGAATGCAGATACATGTGAATGGTGAGAAGATTCGCGCGGTCGGTAGAAATAATCAGGTGAGTGTCAAAGAGAGAGAGAGGAGCTAGAGTGACTTCGATAATATCGCTCGTCCGCGAATCAATATAACTTACTAGACACGAAATTTTGACACTCGTCCTTTAGTTTGTTAGATTGATTAGCCGCTTCTGGCTCTAAAACACGAATCTTGCTAAAATCATCGATGTAAATACCATACTTTGTCAATGAGTCCGCCATTTTCTCGCGTCTAAGATAATAAAATCACGTGAGGTTCATTCAGGATAATCATTCTGTATACTTTTTCATTCAGATAGTACAGCTGATTCTGATTGGTCCAATTCGCCGCCATTATTTCGAGTGTTCGACGAGAAACGTATAGATGCGATCCGCTGTTGCACGCGTTGCGACGCTCTTGACAGTTTTATAAACCACGATCAAGAGCTGCTGTCGCATTCGCCGTTAGTTCTGGTTAGTTCATAATAGCAGTACATAGTTCTCTGTGATGGTAATGAGCGGTAATGAATGAGAGAAAATGAAACGACGTGCGGACACGTCGAGAGCCGCGTCTCTTTCGCTTTCCCCATGTCAGCGAATATAAAGCGACAGCTGATCGATGCCACCTCGAGCACGCCCGTAATCGCGCCCTGTCACGTCGTCGTTTCGTCGCGAAAGTTTCTTTAGATATCTGTCGCTTGTATACACACGCAGCGTCTCTGATTATATCGACAAAATCGATATACGGCTCTTCTACGGTCGCGCGTCGTCGCGTTAGCACTCGCCTCGGCTCTGCCAAAAGTTCGTTATGTCGGGCGAGCACAAGACGGTAATTAAATATCCCTCGGAGTATGTCAAACTGAACATCGGAGGCTCGCTCCATTATACCACGATAGGCACTTTGCAAAAGCACGATACTATGCTACGCGCTATGTTTAGCGGTCGCATGGAAGTGCTCACTGACTCCGAAGGTGAGGTATCTCGGTGTCTTGACATCCTTGATATCTTTGATATATAATTTGAATTGTAATAGTCTTGAAATATTTTTAAATCGATAAACTGCAAGGCAAACTATGAAAAATATATTCCTTTGCTTGATCCCTTAGAAACGACGAGCTATTTCATCTGCTCTAAGAATATTTCTCAGACACTCGACTCTACATTTTATTTGTATCTTTTCATTTGTATGATTTTCTTTCTCATAGGCTGGATATTGATCGATCGGTGCGGCAAACATTTCGGGACGATTTTGAATTTTTTACGAGACGGTTCAGTTCCATTGCCAGAAAGCACGAAGGAAATGGCAGAGCTATTAGCTGAAGCAAAGTACTACTGTATCAGTGAACTGGCCGAGTCGTGCGAGCAGGCGCTCCTTCGAAAAGAGCGAGAAGCGGAACCCATCTGCAGAGTGCCCCTCATTACTTCTCAGAAAGAAGAGCAGTTACTCATAAGCAATACTACTAAGCCTGTAGTCAAGCTGCTCATTAATAGGCATAACAATAAATATTCTTATACGAGGTAATATAAAATGCTACTTGACAGTGGAATGTCAATGATATTTATCAATTTTTTATTTTTATCAATTTTTCTCATCTCTTATGAGCATAAATTAAAGTATAACGATGTAAAACTGACATAGTGTAAAGGCAATATTATTTCTTGTATAATTTGTAGATTAATAATACTTTAAATTCACAAAAAAATGATAAGAATCAGTGAATAAAATACATTACTCTTGATATAATACTTTATATATTACTATTGTAATTGTAAGCTTGTTAAAGAAAACTAATCAAATTTTCACAGTACATCAGATGACAATCTGCTAAAGAACATAGAATTATTCGACAAAATGTCGCTTAGATTCAGTGGTAGAGTATTATTCATCAAAGATGTCATTGGCTCCAGTGAAATTTGCTGCTGGACATTTTATGGACACGGTCGTAAAGTAGCCGAAGTCTGCTGCCATTCGATCGTCTATACGACTGATAAGAAGCATACAAAGGTAACACTAGACAGTATATACAATGATAAAATGTTCAATCATTGATATTGTAATTGTGTAATTAATGATACTTTTAGGTTGAATTCCCCGAAGCTCGAATATACGAGGAAACATTGAACATTTTGTTGTACGAGCATCGAAATGGCCCGGATCAGGAGTTAATGCAAGCAACGTCTTCGCGCGGTGTAGTACCCTGCACGTCCGACGAAGAGGAGGGTGAGCGTTCGGGCTTAGCCCGCCTTCGCTCCAACAAACAAAACACCAACTGACCCAGTCTTGTTCTCCTCAGTCCACCGCATACCGCGATCCTCAGTGTCGTTCGTTCTTTCAAGACACGAATCAATATAAAATAAAACAAAACACAAAGTATATTACATGATACTTGATCATCCTCGGTTGAATTTTTTTTCCTTTTTCGTCTCTGTGCGTGGAACACTAGAGGAAAGCTAGAATTAAACTTTTATCAGCTCACCTCGATACATTTCTTATATCACAATCTTAATTTCGCGCATAATTATATGCTCTGATTGTTGAAAATATCTATAAGCAAATACACGTAAAAACGCCAACCCCGTAATTAACGCAAAATGGAATGACAAATTTATGTGACTTTAAGTTTCTTCGTCCTTGCTATTCTTGCTATATAAACGTATTTATAAATGTACATAAATGTGCGAATAAGGGAATGGCATCTTTTATTAATTTCATTCTATAAATCATATAAATGTAAGCGTTCTGTGCGTTTACTATTCATGTGCCAAATTGTTACATTAAATTTGCGACAGGAATAAGTCCAAGTTGCCATTCTATGACTGAAAAAATTATTTATGAATTTATACTCTATAACAACTTTTAAGCAGTCACTTAGATTAATCAAATTGTTATGAGAAAAGATTTTTGTGCAAAATTAGTACTGCGTTGTTACCTGTTATATAAGTATTATTATTTTATTATTTTCATCATTATCATTATCGTTGTCTCGTCATCATTATTGCATTATGATAAATCATATCATGATTTATTAGTTATTATTACTTATTCCTACATCATTATTATCATAATAAATTTTTCTTGTGTTTATATATATTTTCTTATATATATAAATTATATATATAAATCTTATATATATAAATTTGCATAATTCCAATAAATGATTAAATATGTTATTTGCTTTATTTGTAAATCCAGAATTCTATTAAACTGCTTAAAGGATGATGTGGAGTAAACACTGCCATTAAAATAACGAAAGTTTAATATCAATTAGAAATGATTTTAGAGACGCGTTTAAAATATGCGTCTTTGTTATTTCGATTTCATTAGAAACATTAAACGTATAAAATGTTAAATTACATATATTTAAAATATATATTTAAAAATTTCCAGCTTGAATGAATAATATAATATATAAAAATCCGAATAATTTTGGTACTTTTTCATATGGTTATTTATCGATATTTTTATGACTCGATAGGCAGCTCATGTGACAATATGCGCAGCCATACGTAATCTCACGTACTCGAGATCATTTAACACTTCGTATGCACAATTGTATTTGCATAAAAGTATGCAACGTTGAACAATTTTGTGCTACGAAGGGCATATATTTTATGTTTTTCTTCTCCTACGTTAGATTGCAAAAGTTATCCGCGGATCTTACAGTATACATATCTGATTTGGAATAAATAAACTTATTTTGAATTTTTTTACTTTATTGTCATTCCACACAAATACATATTAAGCGTTTTCCAGCTAGTAACATAGAGGACACGGTGAACCATTTCATCCTTGTGTTTACATTCGGCAATCAAAAACTAGCTAGAAAACGTCCGTTATTTCATTGCTGCCGTAATTGTCATATCTATAATGATAATTATTTTATCATATCGATTTGTATAAATCTCTCGAGTGACATTTGGAACCAAAGTATTTCTGAAATCAATGTGAGTAAATATTTATTGACCATATAAATATGACGATAGAAAATTATAATTTTTCATTTTGCGATAATAATAATAATAATAATAATAATAATAATAAAAATAAAAGATAAGTTTGCTCAATTTTCCGAAGGTGTTAAATGAGTAAAGATGGAATGTATAGAAACAATTACAGACTGTGTGATCTATACTGGCATAAATATATATTCAAATATACAAAGAAAAATATAAGTATATATATATATATTTTTTGCCTGTTTTTTTTTAAATATAATATGTAATCCCCCCAAAAAATTAATAAAGGGACCATATATATCGCGTTACATGCCTGCATTGTAGGATTCATTCATATCTCTGTAATATGTATGTTATACATTAAATCGAATATATCTATGTTAAATAAAATAATTTATAAGTTTTTCTGCCCCTTTTGCACACTTATAAAAATTCAATTGTAAGAGATTAAACAGATAATAGAATATACATCATGAAATGTATCTCCTCTAAATTTTAAAAGATATGAGATATTACAATTATAAAATTGAATAAAAATTAGAAAGATATTTTTATTGCAATATAAAACATGCATTTATGGTAATAAATAATGTGAATTTTAAATAAGTAGCAAAGCTAATTCTACAAATCATACAAAGCCAGATTTGTTCTGTTATTTGTTTAAATATAATTAATAAAGAAATTAATTTTATTAAATGCAAAAAGCGCGTGCAGACTTGAGCAAATTTTTGTACCATTTTTCTCAAATTTATTTTACAATATAATCCATCTTTTTTTACGTAGGAGAAAAAAATAAAAGCTTGAAAGGAGAGAAAATGGAAATACTAAATTGATTCGAATGTGACATGTATTATGAAACAAGGTATTATTATACATAAGTGTGTGTATATATGATGAAGTTTGCAGTTAAAGACAGTATTTTTGGGGCGCAAACCTTTTTTCTTGAGACGGAATCGAATGTACATACACATGTTGCGGAGTTTGTCAACCCCTGAATTGGAAAGGCACATCAGTTCTTTCTGGATGACACTAGAAGTACCGTACGTCTAATATCGATACGCTACTGATCACCTTGCAAACGGTGTTTACATGAGAGTATCGTGATTGCTTTTGCATTTAACTATAAATAATATTTTTTCAATAAAATTACTGTCTACACTAACAATCGCGATTACATGAGCATCGACAGAAGAATATATATTGGCGGAAAATGTCAAATATCGCAAAGATGTCACTGGGTCGACTCGCTATTCTCACATTTCTATATCTTCTACTTTCATTTCATAGAATTTTAATGTAGCTTTATATGAATTTCTACAATGTAGAAACACAAAAATGTTCTGCCATTTCTGTGATTAAATCGAAAACTTCTATACAATGTGAAAATCTTAGTAAGTAAAAACAAAAAAAAGATATCAATATGACAGATGATCTTTAATTTATTCAAATAATATTGCCTATTTATGGTTAATTATTATATTAACCGTGTAATGTAAGCTTCAATAAAATTTGAAAATATGCGACGAGTATTGCAATTAGTGCGCATGTATGTCAGATAGTTTATTTTCTAATTCGAATAAAATCGCATTTTCTTTGACAAATTCTTCTTTTTATAAAGACATTGTCTGTGCTTAAAATGCGCTTCATCAATCTATTCGTATTTATGTTGGGTAAATATTGGCTGGAGGAGCGTGATGTAGGCATATTTAAATATATCTAAGAGCAAAAATTCATAATTCTCATTTAATTACTGTTAAAAGCTGATTTCTTTTTCAATAAATTATCGAATCCTCCTTATTTTCAATAGCTGTACAAGAGATACATTTGCTCCCAGACATAATATGTTCTGCCCTCTATTTTGTGTTTATCAGAGTACTACAAGTATATATATTTTGCACTTACTATAATACTATAAACATTTCGCTTTTAGAAAGAATTTTGCAGTTATGACGACGTCACGGATACTCTGCATTTATCAAAGTATTATAAATATCGTGGGATAATTATATTTTAAATTTAAATAATTTCTTTTATACTTCACAACTATATAATGCGTTTGTCAAATTTACCACTTTCAACTCTGCAATTGCAATCCTTTGCACAATACAAACGCCTTTATCGTTTTCTCAAAGCTCTACAATACATCTATACAAGACTGTATAAATTTACAAAAAACACTTTTGATACATACGTAAATTTCCAAATTTAGATTTCTAAAATACATAGCACTTGACGTAATTTAACGCGAATACATTTTTTTTTGTTTCTTTAACATTATCATTAATACAAGATCACAAATTGGTAACGCGTTATACGCAATTGCCTTAATTGTACAATAGTTAAGTTTAAACATCTTAAGGCTATTTCACACACCCATCCATTCAACCATTATATACCCAAGGATTCAAAAATAAATTCTATTTCGTAAAAATAAAGAGATAATGTATCGACTTACATATAGAAGTTTTATAGTCTACATTTATAAATATATACATTTATACTATGTGTAACCTCTAAAAACTCAAGGAATATACTTTGTAAGTGCAGTTGGAGCAGATGGGATGATATATATGGAAAAATCTAAAATTTTTTATTATCTGATTATTAAACGCAAATATGTGATGATCCTATCTGATTATTCAACTCAAATGTCTTTTTATAATATATATGTAATTTATAAACATAAGATATTATAAAAATACAATAATCAGAGAAATCATAACAATTTGAAATAAATATTGCAATGATACAATTATTATTAAATTAATTATTTATTTATTTTATGTATAATAAACTTATTTATGAGAGTGCATGTTTTTTATTCATATAATAATACAAATTTTATTCAGATGTGAAAAAAAGAAAAACACCAGATAGAAGAGAATCTGATTATATATTACATATGCAAATTCTCGTCTGTATCATTGCATTATTTATATAAAATAATAATAGTTAATAAATGATTTCAGTTAATAAATGAAAGAATTAGGTATGAAATTATATTAAAAACAATTACAATTTATATAATAATGTGTTATAAGAGATTTTGAAGTCATAAAATTTCCAAAGAATAATTGTATTATACATCTTTTTATGTATTAAGAATATGTATTATCTGTTATATTATCATACTTTTAAGTCAGTAATTACTTATGAAGAAATGGATGAGATTTGTGTGAGTTCTATCAAGATTATGTTTACTATTATATAATTAGCATTTTATTTATACGACACAATAAAAATGTTAGCCCGTATATGTTGAATCAGTTTTCAACAATGAAATGCAAGATCAGATTTCAGATCAGAATATGGAATATAATCATGACCAGTCAAAATGTTTGCACTTTGCGCATCATAAAATTATGAAAAAAAGAATCGCGTTATATCTTTCTTCTTTTTTAGATCTTGTAGCAACTTTCAATTTCCAATGTTTATAAGCTCGATCAAAAAAGAAAAAAGAATCTTTAATAAATCTTTGCACATGCATATAATCTTTCTCATATTTAGAAAGCTCAGAGGCATCAAACAGTGTTATAGTGTTGTAGTATTAAATATATATGTATATGTGTGAGATACGATCTTGAGAAAAAATTGAAACACTCTGTATAATGATTTTTTTTATTTAAAAAAATGACTTATATCTGTGTTCACTAAGAAAACGACATTATATCATTCCCACGTGCTCCAATGGAGCAGTCTCTGTCAGCAGCAATCAACACATTAACACACCTTGCACTTTTCATATGCCTATTACTGCATAATCGTCGTTTCAACTTTTTACACAGTAATATAAAGTTGTTACATAATTGTACAATAACTCACATTAATTTGTCCGCTTCCGGAGATCAGTTCATGACACGTGGTGACTCTTGATTTACATAGCTGCCTCGGTCTTGACGCGTTTACAAGAGTTTACTGTGTTTTCTTCCGCGATGCACTCGTTATTTTCCTCAACAGCTGGTGAGATTGACCGCTTTTTTGTGACGCATACTTCAGCAACGGTGTTACTTTTAGCAGTTGCGGCCGCCGGCATTGTAAACTTAACTATTACGGCAGTCATGTTGTCGCAACCTGTTCCATCACCAAGAGTATCCGGTGCAAGGCAATGATCAAATAGCTGAAACATTAGATTAAACATTAGATAGGACGTTAGATTTTCGATTTATATAAAGAGACAGCTGAAAGTTTTCTGAAGATGAAAAAAAAATATACGCGCCCGTAAATATTGGAAAACTTTTTTACTCAACCCAATTATCTAATTAGGAATTAAGTTTAAAAATAAAATTTATCAAGACAAAAGAAAAAAAATATAAAATGTATAAAATATATAATATATATGTATAAAAATATATAAAATGTATATGTATATATAAAGTGTGTATATATATATATATATATATATATATATATATATATATATATATAAATATAATGTAACGCGCGATTCTCTCCATACCTCTTCACAGATTTTCGAGATGTTCTCGTAATTTTGCGACAAACGAGTGCGCACGAACTGGACAACGTTTTGACTGGTCATAAAGTTCCATATACCATCGCATGCGAGCACCATAAATTCGTCTTTTGCTGGTTCAATCGTAATATGCCTTACGTCTGGTAAAGCGGAAATCATTTGTTCTTCGGCTGGTAATACCATATTTTGCTTATACGAATGATCACCGAGCGCCCTCGAAAGATTGAGACCGCCATTCACTCTACCGTCGCCTGTCACTTCTCCACCTGCTTTTACTATACGTTCCATTTCTGGTGCGTCTTCGGGTTTGTGATCCAAGCTAAGCTCAACTGCCTGACCATCTCTGCATAAAACACATCGAGAATCTCCAGCATTGGCTACATATAACTCGTTTCCTTTGAGTATCGCTACCACTGCTGTGCATCCGCTATCCGAACCAGGCTATAAGAAAACGTATTATATTTATATTTTTATATTATGTATTATATATTATGTATTATATATTATTATGTATTATATTATATTTATATTATTTATATTTATAAGTAGAAATTTTTAAATCGATACGCCCTTCTCTTTTCTTAATTTTGCTTCTATATAATATAATAAATGAAATAAATTTTTACGAATTTTATAGAAAAAAAATTAATATATATTGTTACCTTTTCTATGTTTATCATAATGTCAGGATCCTCATCAGAATCATCTATATCTTCTTCTTCGATTTCCTCATCATCATCGGTTTCATCTTCGTCAATATCTTCTGTATCATCCTCGTCACTGTGATTTAAGAAAAAAGAGAAAATGCAACAATTTGGAAATAATATTATAATACTTAAAAATCACATTTTTGTTCATTGATGTTATAGATCTTACCTTTCAGGAACACCATCAAACGTCTCGTCATTTTCATCATCGTCCTCGTCTTCTTCGGAATCATCACTGTCCTTTTTCAGTAAGCTTTGGTAAAGATCCACAGGTTGAATTCTTCTTCGACCACTGCTAGTTATTCGTTCTTGCTGATCTGCATCACCATTTTCTACGGGAGTGCAGGAACTGCTAGATACATTGTCTCCTCCACCCTTACTGCTATCTGCATCTCCGATCCTTTTCAATTCCTCGCCATTAACTTCCACTTCGTTCACATTAGACTCCGCACATGGCGGCGTCTTGCCGGGACTCGAAACTTTCTCTTTCACGTCCTCCGAACTGTCGGGCATATCCATTGATTTAGCAGGTTCTACATCCGCAGTAGATCCTACTGGTGGTGATACATGAGCAGCATTGCCATTGCTTGTCGTCGAATCTAGTACTTGCTCGGCTTCATTGCTTCCTGGACATTCGGATTCTTTTTGCTCCACTGTGCTAGACAGAGTTGATCCACACGGTTGACTGGAACTACTAACATCTGTTTCGTTGGTATTCCAGGCAGCCGTAGTCGACGAGGATGACGATGATGGAGGTGGTGGAGATGGCGACGACGAACATCCTGCGCCAAGAGACGAACAGGTTGCTTTCTCTCGTTCCCTTCGACCTCGCAGGAAAGGACTCGCAAATGCGCGCTTCCCGCACTTCTCACCTTTCAGGCTTTTTATATGAGTGTTCAACATCTCTGACTTATACTTTGCCATTACTTGCTCCAACGGCATTGTCGCTTCCATACACAGATTACTAACATTCTCTTCCTCATCTATACGTAATGTAATGTACGAAGACAATCTTATTAAAAATTTACTCGCGCGTGTAAGTAAGAGAAATAAATTAACACTTGCAAAATGCGCAATTAGAAAGATTATCTGTATAAAAGTATATCCCGTAATAATGCATATTCTTAACATGAAAAAAAACGCACCAGACTCGTTGTCACCTTCTTTCTTCTCTGTCGTTGATGTTTCTGCAAGTTCATGGAGAATTTTGACTACCTCTGGTTTTGTGAGAGTAGCATCAAAACCCAGGAAAGCATCTATTAGAGCTTGCCTGATGTCCCCTCTTTTGTAAGCTTCCGTCTGTTTAATGAAGTCAGGAAGGTAACGCGAACAATATGTTGCTACTTCATGTCCACCATGACCATCGTATACGGCGAACAGTGAGCAATTGTCATCGAAATCTATGCAACAATTGTGTGCATCCTACAAATAAACAATTGTAGTTAATAACTTTATTAATTTCGATAGAATTTCTTATTCACATTCTGTGATATAAAAATCTCTACATTACAAAAAGTCAATTCAGATGTCGATATAAAGTTTACTCGTAGAATCAAATTTTTATTCAGGTAACCGATATAATTAAAATATTAATGTGATTAAGGATTAATATCATGATTAATAATAATTATTATGCGGTATAATAAATAACAATTACTATGCAATAATACAGTATTATCGTGTAATAATTTATAATAAACTAATAATTGGTACATTTTTAAAACTGTACATGTATCGAAGAAATATTGTTGATAAATTACATCTAAAAGAGAAAAATGTAATCGCGCAATGTTGAAAAATATCGACTAATGCGTCGCAAGGAACACATTTGATAGAGATATCTCATTTATTGACGCAGAAAGGAGCGAACATCGTCGAAGCGAGCGTTAATCGCATCATGCCCAGAGTTCTCGGGCGTCGTTGGTGACTCGCCGATCGGCGCCGGTTTCGCCGGGTCGCTTCAAAACTCGTCGAAACGCACCGGATAACGGTGCGTGAATACATGCATGCATGCATGCATGCATGCATGCGTGCGTGCGTGCGTGCGTGCGTACGTGTGCGCGCGCGCGCGCGTCGCGACCGCGTTGTTGCCGCCGCTGAACGGGACGGGCCGACGACGGGTTCCCGCTTACCTCCTGACTGATTCGCCAGCCCTGCATGGAGCTCGCGCCGTACGCGACATTTTTTCCCGTTTCGTCGCTCGATTCCTTCTTCGTAATTGGCTCCGACAGGTACGCTCCCATCTTTCGAGATACCGGCTGGCCGTCGTGTCGTTCCCGCGGCGTCCGCGTAATGTATCGCGATATTCCGCCAGAAAACAGAATCTTCGCAAGCGTGATGAGCGCGGCACACAGTCGTTAACTAGCCTCTCATGACCGGTTTGGCTTTCTGTTTTCCAGGACGCTGCTGGCGCCAGCTGGGCCGTCGACACGACACGGCGCGCGCTTTCGCGCCAAACTTAAAGCGACGTGCGCATGTGGAGCGGAAACGCGAGCGACCGGATATGCGTGCATTCCGCTCTAGAGAAAAATAGTCATGGCCACTGCATCCACGCCAACTCCATCCGCGACTTTTATTTCAAACAACAGTGTTTTTATTATTTTACAATGTCTTTAGATTTCTTTATACTATCCGCGACTTTTATTCAAGCAAGAACGTTTTTATATTTCTTCATATTATTGTTTACGTATATTTATTAGAGACTAAACTAAGAGAATAACGATCGCGACTAATGTATTGTTTATGAATCGTCAATGTGCTTATGTCAAGTTCAATAATATATAATGTTCGTTCAACAACGGTATGTACGTATATATTTATTTAAAACATTGAATCGAGCGTTCTTCAGCAAACGAGACAGAGTATAAAAGAGGACACAGTGACATAAAACATTCAATTATTTCATCTTTGTTTACATTCGGCAACCAACAAGGATAAAAATATCCTCGCTAAAAAACGCTCCTTGATATTGAAAGATTTTTCCTTTTTTTTTTTAAATATAAACATCAAATATTATCGTCAAAAAATATTTGAATCTCTTTAAATGTCCCGCTCTTCCCTCCAGCGGCGCGAAGTGGCAGCGCGAGTACAAATTTATACCGTTAGGAGGGAGGGAGAAAGGTGGCGAGTGGAGGGGATAATCGGAACGCGCGCGCCGGGCGCTCAAGCTCAAGCCCGCCAGTCGTTCGGCGAAGCTCGGGGAGGTTAGGTCGGGTCGTACAGTCGGTCGCGAATGCTCCGCGCACCGCGACGATCGTCGTCAGACGTCGCAGCGGATACGCGGCGCGAGTACGTCGTCGTCGAGTAGCGAGTAGATTTTTCACCCCGCAGTCCCTCGCGCGCCCTCGCTCGCTGGCGAGCGTTCGCCGCGAGCGGCAGTGAAGTCGATCGTTGTCCTCGTCGCAGAAACGGGGGCGAAGCCTCTCTCGCTGCCCCGCTTCATCCCCGCGCTTCATCGCCTCTCATCCCTTCAACGACGTCTCGTCTCGATCGCTGCAGCCGGCTTCGTTGGCTTTTACGTCGCAACATCCGTGGACACGACAGCCCCGAAAGAAGAGACGAGGATAAGTTAACATCGTGTATTCCCGGCCTGGTGACCTGACCTTGGATCGGCCCGATCAGGTATGTTACTTATGTTTATTTATGTCGGTCGCGCGATCATTTCTGCCAAGTGAGCTATATATTCTCGTCTGTTAACGTCCGATATGACGATATTGGAATTGGTTTAAAGCGGTGCATGACAGCAGCACGCGCGCTGCTAATTCCGGATGCTTAACGCGCGTACGACGTGTCGCAGATAAGAGGATTTGGAGCTCTCTTGATGTTAGGCTTAAGTTGTCTCGACTGCTCGATATGGATGTGAACATTCGCGGGTTCTCGATAGATTATATCTCGACCGATTAAACGAAGCGCCGTATATCGATCTCGAAGCTCTTGCTCCGCTATTGTGAATCTTCTTGCGGTTTCAGACGCTCCTGTTACTGCGTAGTCGGGCGATTACGGGATGATTGTTTAATCGAAATTAAATTGGAAAAATTTTCGTGCGGTTCTCCCCGTTAGCGGTTATTATTTTTCTTTAACTCGTGTCGCGGGACAATCACACGAGGGGATTCGTGCATAAAATATCCGAGGAAAGTTTACTCCGCAGCGAGAATGTAAGAATTGTTGGGCAAATGAGTATTATTAATTATGTATATATACTCGCGATATATATTAAACTCTTTCCGTTTGTCCGTTATCACGCAAAGCCCGTTAGGCAGCTATTTAACTGTCGCCCCACCAAGCGCCGTGTCTGACTCGACGCTCCGTCGTCTACTGCTGGTATACATGTAGTTACAAGGGACCGATTTTACTACTAGTCAATCTCTCTCCCTTTTTCTCTCTCTAGACACGCGAAATAATGTTCCCTCGCATGGACAAGTCGTTTCGCTGAATGAGTAAAGTCATCAGAAAATTGACGAAGTTAAATATTATATGCATTTTACATGTAATTTGCACATGCAATTGGAAACTCAAAATTTTTTAAATGATGCCATTTTTGCGATTATCTTCCCTAATTTTTTTTTACTTTTTTTTAAATTTGTTATAATGTAAAATTCACAATGGAAAATCATCAGAAAATTGACGAAGTTAAATATTATACAATTTACATGTAATTTGCATATGCAATTGGAAACTCAAAATTTAAAAAGTGTGCCATTTTTATCTTCCCTAATTTTTTTTTACTTTTTTAAAATTTGTTATAATGTAAGATTTACAATGAAACGGGATGGAACTTTCAGCACTCTGGTATTAATCGAGTTAAATAAGTTAAGTAATAAATTATATAATAACGCATCGCGTGCGCACCGAAAGATTTCATTCAATTTATTCGCGCGTTGATCCTATTTCGCGACAAGTTGCGAAGTAGCAGGTCGATGGCAAGTGTCCAAACGGCAAGCGGTACAAGTGTACGTAATCTTACAACTATCAATTTTAATTATCTAGTTTGATCCGTTCATCTAGAAGTCATTATTTGTCCGATACAAACTGTTAGACGCGCCATTCAAGGAATTCGCTTTCGATTGACTTTTCTAAGTGGTATTTTTAAATGAGAGAGACAAATCTAATTTCAGGAATATGCTATTAAGAAAATAAGAAAAAAAAAGAAATAAAAGTTTTCAAGTTTCTCTCTCGTTCCCTAAATTAATCTTTAAAAAGCAAAGGGACATTTGTGTCGTGAAATTCTCATATAGTAATCGAATTACGGCAGTAATTTTGCAAACTTTTTTAATTTTTATTTCTCCCTTATTCTCGACTCGCAATCAAAATTAAACTTCTCATACCAATCGGATCTTGCGTGTTACATTTTTACGCGCGAAAATGGGATGAAAAATTACTTTTTGACTTAATCTCGCGGTGCGGTTGATAAAATTATCGCGGGACGCGAGGGGCGAATCAGATTCTCTATCGTTCGCAAGATAACTTGCAATCGTCCACATATTCTGCATTTTTTAATCTTATTATTAGATATGAAGATCGTGATTGTACTCTAGTGAATATTTTCGACAAATCTCGCAATACTTAACTCGTACTAATCGCATTTGATAGATTTTCTCGTTATTTACACAGAACGAAGAAAAATTTAATTCAAACATCATAATTCAAACATAGTACTAATTCCAAGCAGAGGTGATTTAATAAAGTCTCTCTATCCTTGATAATTAACCTATTCGCAATTCCCACCTGTCCGGTTTCGGACGCAATCCTGGCATGTGGCACTGAAGCACAATCCGCTGGAACAGCTACGTAGCTGCTTCACACCATTTACACATTGATAGTATAGATTGCAATTGTTGACATCGTGAGATATCTTAATCGATGGGTAGCCATCGTTTGCATTTCCGGGACAATCGATGCAACCGGCAGCCCATGGCCAATCGCAATACTGTTTCAATAGATTAAAATGCAACTTTTGTGTCTTTTTATCATCTATCCAAGGACAATCCAACGGATATCTTTTACCCCAAGAACACTTGTAGGCCTTTGTGCAATCAGTTTCGTGTGCGAGAATGACCGTTTCATTTACGTCATAAATCGGGCATCTTGTGAAAATTTGGCGCAAGTCTTTCTCCCGAATAGATTCAGATTTATCTTGAGCGAAATCTTTGTTCGCGATAACGTTCCATAATGCCAGGAAGACGATGGCAATTATGTATATTCCTATATCGAACAAAAATTATGATGAGAGATAACACGATTAAATTATGATTCAATCGAAAATAATCGATATTAATTATATAAATTTAGATTGATAAAGAAAGATTTTACAGAGTAATATTAATATCTCGATATCTCTATTAATATCTCGCTTAATTTTTTCGATCAAAGTCTTATGAAAGAAATATCTTGAATATTTCAATATTTACCCTTCATCGTCTGCTGAATCCGAACTTGAAGAGAGGAAACCGTCTCGATTGATCTCAAATGCGTGACTGATTCAAGTTAGGCGGATCGATTCTATAAGTACCCATCATCTTATCACGAAAATATGATTATCGCTTAGATAATATCTAAAAAAATGATAAATGATATGTTTTATCATTCCAATTAAATATTTTCAAGCTAAATAAATCAAGGATTGTTAGATTTCTGTTTCGTGCGAAATTGATACGAGAAAATAATCGGAAATTGCGACGACGTTTCACTTTTGACGGAGATCATTTTTGCCATTATCTTTGTGCCCGTTTCTCAATCGCGCGAAAGCATTAATTAACGGTGGGTATTTTACCCACCAGACACCACGAGTCCGCGTGTCAAGCTGCCATGATATTAGAGTATCGTCCCGCAAATCAAATGTAAACTAGTTTATTGTTCGAGTTCCGTACCGCGAAAATTGCAACAGTTACCGTGTTGTCCGGAAAATTATTCGCGCACACGTGAATGTTTTTTTTTCTCTTTATATATTTATTATTTTGATAACGTAACGTTGAAAAAAAACACAATTATCCACAATTATACACAGTTATACATAATTTGTTGACAAATGAAAATCACTACATTTTTAACGATAAGAATTGTTAAAGGCACATAATTTGCGCAATCGAGTTACAAATTAATGTTGGCCAACATAGAAGTTGGAATTGCATTTACGTTTCTATTAAAGGTCTATCCATTATTTGTTATTTTATTAGCCTATTATTATTTCAGTGAATTTGCATTGCTGGAGTGCGCATTATTATTCCACGAGTACGGTTGTTATACTAAACTGCACGTGTTCGCGTATGAAAATTTCCATATCTATAACTCTCCGTATTATATAATATATGCGAAGAATTATAATGCTGACGGCTACTTACGAAAATGATGAAGTTTCTATCACGCGAGAATAAAAAAAATAGGACAAATTTATCTCATCGAAGGAAGATTATACATAAAAAAATAAGAATATACATTTTTTACTCGATATTTTTTATTTCTTTCGCAATCTCGTTTCTACCAAACAAGCTGCAATTGATTCACTCGGATATCGATGCTCGTTTTAATCTCGTATTACGTGAGCCATTGTCGTAAAAGAACTTTAAACACGGCATCGATAATTTCGGCGGTACCATTCATTTTTTTTTTCTCTGTGACAGAAATATCTGGATATTTGAAACCTGTGGCTTAGAGGTTTATTAATAGCAATTTTTCATCGAAAATATTCTCCTTTTCTCGATTACTAAATTTTTCATCGGCTGATAGTAAAATCGATAAATTCGCTCAGAAATATGCGAGAGAGCCTTCTTGAAACAGAAGTCGAAAAAGGAGGTTAATGCTTTTTTCGAGCACTCGCAATGTCGCCATATACGTGGGACGTCCGCGTCGTTTATAAAACGGGTGGGTTAAAGGGTTTAAAAGGACAGAGAGAGAAAGAGAAAGAGAGTCGCCAAGTATCAGGGAATATTTAAACTTTGGACGAAGCTTTTTCGAAGGCATCAGCTTCGAAGTTACCAGTACGTGATGTGCGATCATGACGATATAAAAGTAAACTTTGTTCCGATCGAACGCGGAGACCCAGTGATCTTTGGTGCTCTTAAAAGCGTGCGTGTAAATGCAGCGTGCTCAAAGTTATAAGGCAAGGCTTTTATACCTTTCTCCTTTTTCCAAAAATGGAATAAAAGCAGTGTTTTAAATCATAATCTCATAATACTTATATATCCATTGAAATCATTAAATGATAATTGCTACACAAAAAAAAGAGAACAATGTTTTGATGTTATTATAGTAATAAAATTTTATAAAAAGTAAACAATATCGGACGCTAATAAAAATACATTTGACTGTGTCAAATTGAACGGACAGTGCAAAGAATTGCATCAATCATTTTGACAATCGAAGCGGTGCGTGAAATTTAAACATGATTGATTAAAGCACTCTAAAGTTTCGCGAAACTTTGCAATTTATATCGTTGTATTCTGTTCTTTCTCCGTAATTTATTGATGGCAAAATAATCTGAAATTTCCTGGACCCGCATTATAAAATTCAAGTATTTGTTGTTTCCATCCAACAATTATTTTTCTTGCATTGAATATTTAATATTATCTGGCATTAAAAATACAATAAATCTGTTTTACTATTCAATCTTGAAATTTTGTAATCTCACTGTTTTACAAAAAATTGAGAGAACAATTTTAAAGAATTTATTTTACGTTCTCTTTTTTTTTTCGAGGAAATTCTTAAAATATTTAAATTCAAGTAAGATATACTATCATCGGAAAACTGTAATTTCGATTCTTCTTGAGCGCTGACCCGTAAAAAGTGACCAGTCTTATAAAAGCGCGTTCTTTTCTGCTCACCTGTACGCGACGGGATTCCTTCGGCGATGTTCTTCGAAGTGAACGACATCCAGGTCGGTCGGAAACCCTTCGATTTCTTAGCAAAACCTTTTGCGAGATGCCTCGCCACATTTTCATAGCTCGCGAAATTCGTTTGCTTTTATCATATGACTTTATGTTCCTATGCAATCTCATTTTAATTTTCAATATTTTAGCAAAGAGGAAATCATTTTGCGTGGAAAATACATTCGTTTGAAAAATACAGATTTATTCATGTAATTTCACATCGGAGCCAAGATTGATCCTAATTTGATATCTTTAATTGGCATGCAACATTGTTTACTGTACTCGAATGATGGAATAAACTTTTTGAAAATTTGATTTGTGACCCATTATACCGTTTTAATATGAAATAACGATCAATGATGATTTAAAAATAATGATAAAAGTAAGGATAATAAGAGCTGTGCAGAGAGAAAAATTAGAGATTTTTAAACTTAAAAATTTGACAATCTTCTTTTTAAACGAGACATTATAATTGTTAAATTTTAAAATATGCTTAAATTTCTAATCTTTCTCTTCATCTGTGCTACTTACATAACTTGGAATTAAAAACTGTAGACTAAGAATAATCTAATATATAGCAAAATAGCGAATTTTTGCGAAATGGTACATTTATAATAAAGATATTAAGTCTCTCGTTGATCAATTAGAGAATAACTGGGAAAAATGCTTCTATCTTCTAGTCGGAATATACAGCAGCCTTTTACGAGCGTTGCGTATATCGTGTCCTATTTTCCTCATAATAAGATACCGTCTCTCGCAGTATTGTACGTTTCTTGCTTCGTTACCAGCAATTTCCGCATAGCAGCAAGTTGGGACGCGCCTTGCGAATCGTAAAGCGGCGCACGTCGCGCAAGCACATCGTGATTCAGCTACCAGAATCAATTTTTAACGCACTGTGCGTTCTCTCTCCTTCTCTCTCTCCCCTTTCTCTCTCTCCTTTCTGCCCTATTTAGTCCTGGATTTTCTTCTTACGGTATGATAGACATTTTCATCGTATATAGAACGATGAATCGTAACTTTAACGATGAACAAAGAATAGCTGCTTAGCCAGACGAAGAAATTTCCTCTCAGGTTTATATGTTCAAAGGAAAAAGCTCGAATCGAATCGCGTCAAAAATGCGTTATCAGAAGTAGTTTTGTATCTGTGACGCACTAGAAATCAGTAATACATTCTACTTCCGAATTAGGCATTTTCAGACGTTTAGTAGATATAAAAAAATTAAAGTTAAAAAACATACAAGTTATAAATATTAATAATATATAATATAATATAAATTATATAATATAATATAACATAATATATAATATGATTATTATATAATTAACAATTATATAGTATAATATAATTATATAACATAATTTTATATTTTTTGACTTGCAGTCATGATGAAGAAATAATATTATTAATATAATATAATATATTTATATAACATAAATTATATAATATAATATGATGTAAATTATGTAATATTATTATAAGATATTATTATGTAATTAATAATTATCTGCAATAATATAATTATATAATATAATTTTATATTTGTTGACGTATAATGAACGAATATTGAATACGATACGAGCTATAATTCATCGTTTATGCAACAATAATTTCGATTTGATATAGTAATCAAAGCAAGTCCAATAGTTTTAGATCAATGTCGAGTTCAGCCTTATGTATTAGTTACAAAGGACGCTTATGAAACTATAATGCTCGTGGAAAAGCTTAAGCTATTAAATCTTTTATCAACAAAGTCAACTGGAATGTTTTTTTACGTATGTATTTATTATTTTCTTATATAACGCGATACACCGATTATCGATTGCGCCACTTTGCCCTTTGTTTTCTTTTATTAACGGATATCTTTTATTACTTTATTGCGCCGTCGTGACTTCTCTCTTTTGGCAAACTTCGCGTGCGAACTGTGATAATATACTCCTTAGCATAATTTTTGTCAAGAAACAAGTATCAACCCTGCATCGAGCGAATAACCTAATTTTACTTCGACAAAGATAACAATTTCTAGGAGGTTTTACTTCCTCGGCAACTTTGTTTCGAAAAATGCAAGTAATCCTCGTAAATAGATTTCTGATACAGGTGAATAGAAATAAGATTCCTCGATAAAAACATTTGCTGGCAAAACGTTATCGTATTTTCTATCGCGATGCGAATTATTTATGGAGATTTATGTGGCACATACAAATATCTTACAAAGTTGAAGCTCCCGATGAGGTACGTCTACGTTTCCCTTTGTTTAAATTGGATATTCCACGAAATTCCCAACGTATACGAACTTTCCGAATGCTGTTTACACACGATGCATTCATTTATATGCATATAGTCTCAACACCTGACCGTCTTTAGAATTCGCCGAAACATGAGAAATGGCGGATTAAAATCACAGTTTGTCTTTGATGTTTAACGTTGAACTTTCAACATTGCAAGTTTCTCGGCGTAAGTTGAATTGACTGCAATAGTTGCTCGCGTGTTCGGAATCTCCAAATTCGTTCTGTTCGTATTACGCCATAATCGTCTCAAAGCGTACTCGTGGCTCATAATTAGCGGGTTTATAAAGTAAGGCGCTTAAATTTACACGAATCGAAGGCAATTTTCGACATTTTCCCTACCTTACTCGCTCGCGTCGAATGTTTCTTTTTATTCAGACCATTGACATCTGAATAGATAGACAGAGCATTAGCTATCGATTAAGACGAGGAGGGCTTTGATATTCGCGATAAGGGGATAAGGGGAAACTCTATGAACTTCCCGGTTATTCCCGGTTATTTCGGAATTCGATTATTCCCGATCGGTTAATAAATCTCCAACTTCTTTCATTCTAACATCAAAGTTCAGCTCACATGTTGTGCAAAGTTGTGTTGTGACTAATGTCATATTATTTTTATATTTATTATATTATTTTTAAATTTATATATATTATTTAATATTATTTAATATATAATATATATATTTATTTATATATTAAATAATATATATAAATATTATATATATATATATGTATATATGTATATTTTATATATTATTTAATATTATTATTTTCATATTATTTTTATATTTAGCGGCGTTAGCGATTTTCTCTAAATAAACACTCTTTAAACATTTCTGTGAAAATCTAGTTGAGAATCGATGATGTTAATGGAATGGTCAAATTGTGCCAAATAGTCAAACGTTGACGGAATTAATCAAAGTTCATGCACTCCCCCCTTACTGCATTTATCAGTTATCCCTCTCAAAAGGCTCCGTCTATCTATTCAGATGTCAATGATTCAGACTACAATAAGTCTTCGTTTTTGCCCGACTGATCGTCTCGATCTCGCACGAGAGAAATTTACTCCGATGATTCTGATTACATAAATATATTTAACATCATCATAGAGTTACGTTAAGACGGCATAAGAACGCTTCTCGAGACGCGTAGCCTCCCCCCGAAGCATCTCGGAAGCCCTTTATTAAGCCTTTGCCCATTTCGTAGATATTCAACGAGCATACATAATTTGCAGCGAGCTCCCACGGTAAAAGGTTGAAGATATGACGAATAATTCAACGCTAACATACCGTGCAATTTGTCTTCCATTGTGTGTACGATTTATCTTTTGCGCGTGACTTTATACTTAATAGTCTTAGGAGTCTTCTTACACGCAAGTTTTACGACATAATGTTTATCGTTCAATTAGTAAGTCGCTTTACTTTGAGATGATTCTCATCGCGTCTCGCGTGCGTTCGCGAAATTTCATTAATTCGTGATTATCTTTTATTGAAACTTTTTGTTCATTTTCCCTTTAGCCTCAACTTTCAGTCTGAAACGTCGTAAACTGCGTATACACGTGGAATAAAGAGCGCAAATGTTTGCTCGCGGTGCAACGCGACTGCGTTGTTTGAAGTTGTTTAAAGCAACCGTACAATACGAACGGGAAGCAGCGAGTTGCAGTTTCTTATCTAATCCATTAAACTTGATATCGGAGACCTTTCGCACGTAACGTGGAATCGAGACGGAGAATCGCTCGGGGCTATACCGCACGTGCTTATTTGTGCGGACGGGCCGAATCATTGCCACGTAGAAAGGAGGAAAAAAATTCCGATGTTATACGGTGAAACATCAGGGTACGTACGGTGGGATTTGTAGGTAAAATATGACGTGATATCTCTCGTTGTGTCGGAAGAGGGAAAACTGCTCGCGGCTTTCTTCGAGAAACTCCCCTCCGTCCGTTGTGATAACGCGAAAGTTGGACGAATACAAGCGGTCGTTTCTATCGTCCCGATAGTTTTGCACGTCTGTTCGCGGAATATATATTTGACCCAATTCTTGCTTCCTTTTTTTTATATCTTTTTCCCCCCCATTTCCTTTTCCCCTCCCCCTCGTGTGACCGAGCACGCTCGTGTGCCCGATACATGTGTGATTTCGACGAGGGTTATTACGCAAATGGCGTTGAAAAAAAAAATAGGATATCGACGTGCCTTCCCTTATGTAGGACACTCCACACCGAGAAAGAAACACCGAGGAGAAACGTCGAGAAGGAGAGGAAAAAGAAATCTCGAGCCACAATTTGACGCGTCGCGTGCATGGTCGGCACGGAAAATCATGTGATCGCAAAGAAATGTGTGACTGTGCTCAGCTGTAAAAAGTCGCGTGTTACGCGATCAGATGTCTTATTATAGGTGTCCATGCTGCGTTGGAAGCATGCAATAATTACGCGATTATGCGCGCGACAGTCGACAGTTCGTTATTTATCGGTCAATCCGCGAAAGAAAGTTTTTCAACAGGTTTATAAATAACGCGTTGCGTTTCTATAACCTAATGCCGGCACACGCCAGCTGACTATTTCGCTATTATTTTCACGCCAACGAGCGCTCGAACGTCATTCGTCGGGGCTGAATGAATCGCCGAAGGGGCTCGCGATATTTTCTACGAGTATTCCGCGCACTTATGACACAAAAGCCCGGAAATTTCCTCCTCTGTACGTGAAATTGTCCGCGTGTGCGTTAAATTTGTCCAACGTTCTCTCTTTTCTTCAAGCTGTTACAAACATGTTTGTAACAGCATTATATTGTAGTATATCCCGAGACTCATCGTTCCTCGTTCTATGAATACAAAGAAAAATGTATTTTTTCATATTTTCTTATATTTTATTTCTCTTTCGTGGAGGCGCATCCATAGAGAAGCGTGTGTTACGAGCTTCGGTAAATATCACGCAAACTAACGATGTTGGCCGTGCACGTTGCCGGACATTTATAATGTAAAATTCTTTTGTTTAGACTTTATTTTTTCTTTGAATACGTACAAACATATAAACAATACGTACAAACATGGAACAGAAAGGGATGGAGGAGGAGGGGGGGAGAGAGAAGAGAGAGAGAGAGAGAGAGAGACTTGATATCCTTATCCGCAGGAAAATATCGATTTCCATAACTATTCGTATTTCACGCTATGCGTGTAACAATTTTATCCGTGTGTCCGTGACGCGGCAATTAATTCGCGTGACAATGATTGAAGCCATTAATTTTCAATTGGTCCAATCGACTGATTACACATTAATCGTGGCTTTATTAATTAATCACAGAATCCAAGGATAACAGAGAAGAGCGTTATCCTTGGATGAGTTACGATCCAATTGCAATATTTATGCTAATTTGCGATCTATATCACGTATCGAAGGTGACATTAAATACATGTTTGCTGCGCTGTTTTAAATTCAACGATAAGCAGTCGTGGGTGAATGCAATAAAAAAAATATTATCAGATGTAGGCTATGATAAAGTTTAATTTATATGAAGAATATGAATTAATCGTGAAATAAAAAAAAAAAGGAAGAGATAAAAATTGGTGAAACAATGACACCGCAGCCGCTGTTCCAAAAGCTCGTTTCAAGCAGAAAAATTCTCGGCAGCTTTTCGCTAGACTTGCCGCTATTCCTTCATCTCGACGCCGAGCTCTATCCCCGTTCCAATTTGCTCGGAAAATGTTTTTCCTCGTGCCGTGACTCGAAACCGCGAACGGGAACGACTGGGAAATTGTAAGAACGTCTTCGCGCGCGCACTCGGACAAGACGAGACGATCTTTTTCTTCCGATCTTCCCGACATATATTTTCTCTCTCGCTTGATTTTCAAATCTTCAAGTTTTCGATTATTGAGCGCGAACGTCGAGATTAAAAAGAATTGGAAAAATCACAAAAATATATATTTATATTTGACTTGAATCGTAAATGGATACATTATGTTTGACGAGTATTACATCACGAGGCTATATTGATTCAGCGACAGTCTCGAGTCAGAATTCATCTTGTATATTAGCTTGTATACTCATCTTATATAAACACGAACATAAATATATATACAATGTATCTTGCGTTCTATAGTTGTAAGAGTAAAACTTTGTGAATTTAGAAAGTTAGCGAGGAAATCAAAGTCAGGGGAGAATCAAAGTTAAAATCACAATATTTATCATAAAATGTCAAAATAATAATTAAGAAAATATTAAAAATATAAAAATTTTTTATTTTAATATCGAAAAAAACATCAATATTTTCTTATTTATATACAGAATGTTCTGAAAAGGTATGTCAAAAATTTAAGGTGATATTTCTCACACCTGAAGGATGAAAAAATGTTATATGGACATAGGTGCGGAATGCTTATTTCAGGAATTATGATATTCAAGATCTTCGTGAGCGTATGCAAGTTGCGAGACAATCCCGCTGTATGCCAGGCATTTTTGAACGTGTCCATGAATCGACATATCACTGCTTGTATTCAGGAAAATGGTGAACATTTTCAACATTTATTGTAAATAAGCCTAATTAAACGATTGTCGTCTACAATAATTAATCCTAAATTTTTCCTTATGTAAGTAATACAGCAACAATATTTTCAACATAACTCCCGAAATAAGCATTTCCGCACCTATGTCCATATAACATTTTTTCATCCTTCAGGTGTGAGGAATATCTCCTTAAATTTTTGACATACCTTTTTAGAACACTCTGTATATATATGTACAATTGTTTGAAACGAATAGCGAGAAGAGTGAACGTGTATCCTTATACTTTGCAAATATTGACTGTTCGAAATGCTCTCCCTGATCTATACTCAAATATACATATACAAAGTATTTCTCCGCATTATATTATATTTATATAATATCATCATTAATAATAAAACATTTCGTATTCCATAATTTTGTATATATTACATGTTATTATACAAAATTAAAGTCATGTATATTATTCATCCGCATTACCTGAGCGAGCATTAATCTTAATTTCTATCTTTTTACTATTTCTATTATTTCTATCTATCTATTTCTATTATTTATTATTTCTATCTTCAAACAGGAGCACGAAGCAATATGTATTACATTCATATTATAATTTTTTTTTGTTTCAGTTGACACAGTTTTTAATGAACATATTGCCGAGAGATGTCCATTTAAACCTATTTTTTACTCCATTTATTTACCACTCATTATGTGTAAATCGCTTAATTTTGCTCGATAGTTTCGCATTCCTGAAAAGACACTGCAAGTACATATTTCAATTCGAGAAGGAAAATTCAATATATTACACGCATAAGATGAAAGACATTCGTCAAACTACAAACGTAAATTTGATTTCAAATGTAAAAAAAATCACCTTCAAATTCATTTTACAACTATTTAAATATAATGGTTTCTTTTCTATATCTTAAATAAGTATAAAATTGTCTCGATGAAGAAAGCCAGATGATGGCAAATACTAGTAGTAGATGCTTTGAATAAACTAAAATAGATATCATGCGGAGGAACAAACGATCGAAATAAGAATCTGGATAGCAAGATATAATTAGCACCATCGAATCCGTAGGACAAATATATAGTTATCATTCAAATCACCTATGAATAGTATTTGATGGCAGCGAGACTATGAAAATTGCAAAGAGCCAAGACAAATGGAAAATTGTATTCGCATCTAATGCGTGTCAGTTCACCACAATTCCGGTAAGTTGATAATTAAGTAATTGAGTTTAGTAATTCAAGAGTAAAGTAATTCAAGTTTTTTAAATTAATAAGTAGGTTGTAAGAGAGGATCCAATAACATGGATTAAGTATGATGATTATCAACATTGTTAGCATCCACTCAATATGGGAATAAATTTACTGAGTTTGCTGAAAATCGATGACACGTGCCTAATACCTCCTCTTTCATATTACATATCTTTTCCTCTTCTTTCATTATGTTCTTTTCGACCTCTACTTCTTCATCTCCGTTGGCCTTTTTTTTTATTTTTTTTGACTCTTGATTTCCTTGATATTTCACGTCCATGAATCTTTTGTCATATTTCCGTTACCTGACAGGGACTTTGTTATTTTTCTTAACATTCGTGATAGTTAACTCGGCGATCTACGCATCAATAATATAATCCAGAAAGACTCGCAACTTCACGATTCGTATCGAATTATGAATGAAAGGCAGCGATATATGTACGTGTAACGAGACTGGATACGTGTCCTCTCAGGATGTCGGTTTTCGCCGCGTATTTTCTTATTTTAGCTTAACTTAAAGTTTCTGCGCAATATTTGTACGTCTTACTCTATATCAAAAATCGATAATCATTTCCTTAAATCCTTAAATTAGTCTCGGAAATTGAATCAACTAACTAACTGAGAGAATATTCTTCTCACGAGATTCATCTTATAATTAAACAGGCGGCAGACAAGAAGTGCACGGGTTTGCTTCCATCCGATTCCAATTAAAGGCTTCTCAGAACGACGTCATAATATTGCGAATTTCTCCTTGATGCGGAAACACGAGCACAGACGCGAAGTTTTCCTGTCATCTATGCATTACCCATAAACTCGTTTCCTTTCCTGGATATGGATCGATTACTTCGGCTCGAGTATTTTCGATGATCGAACAGTGACGATAAAAAGAATCGACTCTTACTTCATATCTTTTGAAACATAAATAGTAATAGACGATCCGAGTTGCTCCGAATAAATATGGGAAAATCATAGAAACTACACACACTTATATTATTATACTCTATTTCGTTAATTCCAAATTATATCGGTTTCGACATCATAACTACAGAATTGATTAACATTCCGTGTAATATTCTCCGCGATAGCGAGACTTTCGATCATCGAATTTCACTTATCTTCAGTTCTGTTTTCGCGTACGATACCAGAATCCTAGAGCTGACTATTCCGGCGATCGCAGGAAATTGAAACTGTTGCCTAGCTTAATCTCATTTCGAAGATTCGATGATCGACAAACTATGCGCGCGGATTAACTTTTTTAATATACGAATATAACGATAACTTATATTGCGTATAAATTTTCCGATTTATTCATATATATTAGCTGTTTTGATTTAATTGACAAATTTTTATTATTGCAGACTTTCGCATCCTCGACGTCGTCATGTATGGATCTTGAACTTCCATTCCTGATAAATCCCGAGGATTTGTGGAGCTAGACGCGATGCAAAAAGGTAAGTTTAATACTAGAGTTTTTTCAATAATTTATCTCTTAATATTCGTGCGATTGGCATATTAACGTTCAAAAATACCGTGTATATTTAATTAGTTTCGTGTTGAAGAATCCTGTTGGTAATAACTACTCGTTATTCGATAATAAACAAACACTTGACAAACGTTGCGATTACCCTGTTGCGCTCGGATTTGGAATCCGATCGGAAAAACAGGAACGAACGATAAAGTGTACATCTCCATACACACGTATATGCACATGCGCGACTGCACGGTACGTGTACCCAGAAATAATTCAGAGAGCCTTCAACATGTGAAAGACGAGTTACGATGTAACATATCAATTCGAATGTCCGCGAGCGAGAACGGAATTTTTCATATAACAATACTTCCGTCGACGATGTTTTTTGCGCGAATTAATTATCGAGTGGAAAAAAATAATTATACGTAATTACAAAAAGTGTAAAACCGCTTCGTAAACGTTTTTATCTTACGTATAAAAGTTTTATATATTGTAGAAATGTCGTCGGCCCTGGTTTTCCTCCTGTTATTTATTTAAGACGATTTTACTCGAGTCCCATAAAGTAACAAGTTGATCCAGCTTTCGGTAAAAGCTGGAAACTACGATGTAATGAATTTTTTATCCATAATTAAAATGAATCTATAATTAAATTGAATTAAATCTGAAGCTTATTATTCGATCGATCGTAAACGGTGAGTTCTTTTTTAAACGATAGGAGATCATATTTTCGCGGGGAAGTTGCCATCATAGTTGGGAAAATTCACGACAATGTGAAAAGTATGGGGGAATTTAACCGAGAGGCGTAAGAGAAATAGGTTCGCTCGGGGGTAGTTTCCGGGGAATTCCGGGATACTCTTCTAACGGATACATCGGCATTTTCGAGGATAAAGGAGTCTCCGCGATACGATATCGAACAGTTCAGTCTATCTCCTTATCGGAAGCAGAGAACGTAAAGTACAATAAGGGAAAAGCGTATGCGCCCGATCTAATTTCGGATTGTTGTATTTGTACGCATAATCTCGATTGTTATCCGAAGGGACAAAAGTCTGTTCATTTGCATTAGATAATAATATAGATAGATACGGTAATAAAACGCGATCGAATCATGTGATTACGTGTGTATTGTGTATGCGTTTGAAACTGTTATTTAAAATAAAGCGCTAACAGTTTTTTCCGCTTACTTTGGCAGAATCTCACGCTCACGTTTATTTAATTTGTCACAGCGGACGAGCAATTGCTAAATACGAGACAACATTACTGCTTCTTTTTTTTTAGATGTTTGAGGGAGAGAGTCGCTTCATGAATATTTTAGTAGCGCAAACTCGAGTCTCCCTCAACGTAAAAATAAGAGGACTGCGGAAGAGAGCGCGGAATATTTTCTGAAATAAGAAAAGCATTAATATATTTCTTTTAAGAGACAAATGGCACATGAAAACACTTTGCGTGTTGCTCCTCGCGATACATTTCCCGTGAAAGAAATTCTCCGTTGCCTTTTTTTCACATATAGAAAAATGTCGGCATGAGGTTTTAATTCCGCAGCGATTAATTAATCGTGCGTAGAAGCGATCAAATTAACGTTTACGTCTCTCGTCGATGCCGAGCTCATGCGTAAATTGTGAGAGGCTCGTGGGCGTGTAAAGTGCGGTACAGATGCGGGAAGCACGTGTCGTTGCGTTGCGATAAAAAAAAAAGATGATGCGTGAAATCGCGAATTAGTGCCGACGCTCAAGTTAACACGCAACTCGACCGCATATAAGGATCGTGGACGCGGAGCGTGTTTCGGAAATCGCTGCCTCCCTTTCGCGTAATCGCCCCGACAGAGACCCCCCGATCGCTTGAATCAGTGTCACAGTAATTCGTGGGTGGTTTCGTTGACCTATCGGATTGACCCTGTAATCGTCAATCGCTTTGTTATTCCCCTTTTTTTCCGATATCCACCCACGCGACCTCCTAACTGCATATCCTGTTTCCCTTTGCGATGAGATATCTTCCCACCTCTTTATACTATCGATCTACGCAATCTCTCCGAACCGGATAGGCAATGCTTTAACGAGATAAAAGGCATTATGTAATAGAAGAAAATACGATGTGATGAGGCTATTATATAATCTACATTTTTGGCCATTTAAGGCTTTAATGATTCGATTAACTAATCCTTCTTGCAACGAGTTAAGTGAATGGATTATTTCTATTATACGTCCTGTCTGCGAGCCATTCTCGCGAGGAGTAGATTTCCGTGGAACAACATTAACGAGTAAGTTGCAAAATGTCCGGGAGAAGTTGAGCCGGTGGCTGAATAGATTAAAGCGCAACTACGTAGAGTACACGGGGTATCCGACTTCTAAGTCTCTCCCTTCCCCTTCCCCACCCTTCGAACCTGTACAAAACTTTTCGCGATTGTTAAAGTATTAACTCACTTTTAAAGCGGCTTTACTTTCGCGCATTTTTACCGGCGCAAGGTCTACGCGAGGCGGCAGACCTCTAGGAAGTGTACTCTCCGGTAATTAACTTAATTCACGTCCTCCACTCTCTATATTATACGTGGATAATATCAAGCCAGTGATAATGATGCGATAATCGTGTTGGTGCTCGTTCTCGGCGTTTCATAAAACATTTTCATACGCGTTATCGTTATTTTTATGATAACTTTCGATAAACTTATATTACGCTTCGCAAAGCATCTTACGTTAAAGAGGAATGGAGATTCGCGTCTCGCATTTCCAAGTTTTTTTTTAACTTAACTATGTTTTGAAAAGTATTTAAAATATTTTTGCAAAAAGAATTCGCGATGAATTTTATTTACGTGCCTCTTGGAAATTATGTGGCAGTGCATATACAGAGTGTTTCTTAATAAATGCGAAAAATTTTAGGAGATTCTTTATCGAAAATTAAAGGGGGTTTTTCATATAATTATATAAATAAAAAATCCCTCCCTGTGAAGTTACACTCCTCCAAAAATGGGGGTAAAAATTAATTTTTATTTTTTTTTCAAATTTGAAACAAAAAATTAAAGAAATGAAATTGGATGGATATTTTTTACTAGTAGTTCAAAAAGGTCTTCCATATTGTTATAAGGGAATGAAACTAGTAACTTCTATTCAATTTTTTATTAGAACTTTTTAATGGGCCGAAATATGGTCATGAAAATATGCATTAAAAGTTTAATTTATTTAGAAACTTTTTTATTTCTTTTATTTTTTTCATAAAATCAGTAGTTTTCAAGAAAAAAAAATACGTTATCGTACACAGTACAATGTTAGCATAGATTTCGAATTATGAGAAGTTAAATTTTAAAATAAAAATAAAATTAGAGTAAATGTTGGGAAAATTGGAACAAAAACAAAATTATAATAAAAATCTAAACACCTAATTTAGCACTTATTAAGAAACACCTTATATATAGGGCGTTACTTATTCTAAAATATTCGGTTAAACTTTTCCAAGTATATTCATATTACATTTACATTAATTTAAAAAATTCATTTTTTTATTATAATCACACTAATTAAAAGAAGTTGGCGTTATAGACATTGGAATGAAATTTACCGGTATATTTTAAAAGTATTCTGTATATATATATATATATATATATATATATATATATATGTATATATACAATGTTCCATTTCGCAACAAGTTCCATCCTGGAAAGAATTTGAAATCGACCTTTCCCAGACTAGAACTTGTTTCCTCGCATCGAACTCTCTCTATTTTCTCCTTTTCTCCGTTGCGTTCTTTTTCCGTGTGCGAAACTGACGGTAAAATAAATTCGGATGCTATCGGGATGGGAATGTATTTGCAACGGGGGTCAGTCGAGTGGCATCCACGTGAAACGACATTATTCGCACGAGAGCGCGAGCGTAACAAAAGTTGGACAATCACATTGTGACATTTAGCCGACTCGGTCACGTACGAACTTCAAACCGCAAAGTTCTTCTCACGTATGAGCTCTAGATGTTGCTTATTTGATAAAGAAATGTAAAAAAAAAAACGTTTCGGCCACGCTTAAATGAGCTGGAAACAATTTTCACTGATGTTTGGAATCGGGAATAAGGGAGGTTTACTATTGCTCATGGCGTTTACGAACGTCGTAAATGCTTTCTGACGCCCTTAAAACTTAACGATGACCAGATAATCCACGTGCGTGGGAATAAAACATCTTTTTTTCTTTTTTTTTTTTTACGATCGAGCGTAATTCTTCGAGCTGTAAAATGGTATGCGGGATAATTTACGCAGCTTCACCTTGCATTTGCCGTAAAGCGCGATAATAAAACTAATGATGCCGTCTTGCCAACTCCTCGAAGGAAATAAAGATAAAATTCGTTTTTCGTGAAACGGAACCAACGAGATATAGAGGTAGACCCTTCTTCCGCTACGCGTCTTCCGACCTTCCAATTCGATTTCGGGTTTCGCGGTATTCGATTACAAACACCTATGCTCTTATACTCGATTACAAACACCTATAACGGTAGATATAGACCGTTAACAGACGACGAGACAGAAAGAGAGAGGAGAAAGAAATATGCGAGGGATATGAATGTCACGTGTGAACGGGAAATACTGTTTCATTCGTTCACGAGCTCACCACGAGGAAGGCATGCACCTTATATTAAGCTTTTATCGCGGCTGTAATGCATCGGCGTAATGCGCCGCGAATTATGTCGACGACCCAACTTGCCGTGCATTAAACTTCGAAAATAAAGAGCTTCGGTTACCGGCCGCGAGCCGTGTAAAATGGATAGTTATTAGTAGTTGAAATAGCTGAGATGAAATCACGTTTTTTTTTCCTATCGAAATAAAATATTGGGCGAATAATCACATCTCGATTTATTCCGGTCTATTAATATCGACGAAGATCAAGGCATCATTTAGTTATGTCATGGTATTATAAAACTACGATCGTATTATCGGAGAGACGCATGAACTTCTGACCTGATTGTAGTTCTTTAGCGATATTCATAAACACGCCGGGACAGTCGA